CCATTATGTTACTATGTACTCCATGTCAGCCCCATTATGTTACATGTACCTCCATATCACCTCCTATTATGTTACATGTACCCCCATATTAGCCCCATTATGTTACATGTACCCCCATATTAGCCCCATTATGTTACATGTACCTCCATATCAGCCCCATTATGTTACATGTACCTCCATATTAGCCCCATTATGTTACATGTACCTTCATATTAGCCCCATTATGTTACATGTACCTCCATATCAGCTCCATTATGTTACATGTACCTCCATATCAGCCCCATTATGTTACATGTACCTCCATATCAGCCCCATTATGTTACATGTACCTCCATATTAGCCCCATATGTTACATGTACCTCCATATCAGCTCCATTATGTTACGTGTACCTCCATATCAGCTCCATTATGTTACGTGTACCTCCATATCAGCTCCATTATGTTACATGTACCTCCATGTCAGCTCCATTATGTTACATGTACCTCCATGTCAGCCCCATTATGTTACATGTACCTCCATATCAGCTCTATTATGTTACATGTACCTCCATATCAGCCCCACTATGTTACATGTACCTCCATATCAGCCCCACTATGTTACATGTACTTCTATGTCAGCCCACTTATGTTACATGTACTTCTATGTCAGCCCCACTATGTTACATGTACTTCTATGTCAGCCCCATTATGTTACATGTACTTCTATGTCAACCCCATTATGTTACACATACTTCCATGTCAGCCCCATTATGTTACATGTCCTCCATGTCAGCCCCACTGTGTGCCTCCACGAAAATCCCGTTATGTTACACGTACAATCTGAGAGAAATTGTTAACATATTCCAAAAGACACACACACAATCCATATGAAGTAGTGTTTTACAGAAAAAACAACAAAAAGCTCTCTCTCTCTCTCTTACTTTTGACTCCAAGTATCAGAAGAACTTCTTAGATCTGGAAAGAAAATTAAACAAATTACTACCAGATTAATTTAATTCAATTTATTTGCAATAAGAACTGTATGACAAGATAATCAGGATGCTACAATTATAGCAAGTTTACAAAACTGTAAAAAACAAATGTTATGAAAAACACAGATTAAAAAATAAAGATGGTATGTTTCTCAATTTTTCAAAAACATATTTCTAAACTTCTTCCCTGACAGTTTTAAATACATAAAAGTAGTCTAGCTTTCTACCATCTAAAAATTTAAATTCTGTGTAAACTTTAGCCATTTACCAAATTTTCGCAAGCTTATATTTAAAATTTATACAATTGCTTACATTAGTTAGCAGGTGTTTCTACAATAACAGTATTTATATAATTGATAAAATAACAAAATCAATGATTATTTTGCAATTATAAATATAATTCAATGACGAGGAACCCACTTTGAGACTAATAATGGCTGGAGAAGGCTTGAATGGGTAATGAAGAAAAACTTTAATATAAATTTAACATAACAGCAAATGTACAATGTTTCGAAAAGGTTTTGTCATCATCAGATGATTACGGCAATATACAACATGCCATAAACCAAAACAACTCATTTAGATACTTGATGATGACAAAACCTTGTCGAAACGTTGTACATTTGCTGTTATGTTAAACTTATATTAAAGTTTTTCTTCATTACCCATTCAAGCCGTCTCCAGCCATTATTATCAATATAATCTTTTACATGTTTAAGCAATTTCAAGCTGCAAATCTAAAACTTTGCTTTTCATGAAGCATTTCGACCATTGTGTTTGCTAATTATAGATGTTGAGAGTTTTGAAAAATCTGAAGAATTTCCCAACCAATGCTTTGTTTGATTATTACGATGGGCTATCTGACAATCAACATATGATCTGCAGGATTAAATCATACAGCAATTTGAGAGACTACAGAAACTATAAAGTGTAATTTTAGTTGTGGATTTATTTTAGTGGCTAAAAATGAAAGGAATGGATTGAAGTTCAATACTAGAATCCATGTTAAAATTCTAAATGTTTTGTTTTAAACATAAACCCAGGGTATAAAACAGTTTAAGTTTTCACAATTTTGTGCATGTTTATTTATTTTATTTTTCACTTAATCCTTTCCAGGTTTGTAGAGTTGCATTTTGTCTGAAGAGATGCAGTTCTACCATATCAATTTCATGGCCAAAAATTTAGCATTTTCCTTAACTTAAAATGTGTTTCAAATAGATAATCACCACTCTGAAGAACAGATAGCTAATATCTTGCACCACTTCCAGAAAGTTTTGTGCATTCGCTATGCATTTGAACCAAAAATTATACCCTACATGTAATGGTATGTACTAAACCAGTCTGATGTGTAATCAGCTTTAGACTACAGCCCTCCACCAATAAGAGGGTGATACATTCTCCATTAGACTACAGCTCCTCCACCAGTAAGAAGGTAATACATCTTCCATTAAATACAGCCCATCCACCAGTAAGAGGGTAACACATCCTTCATTAGACTACAGTCCCTCCACCAGTACGAGGGTGATACATCCTTCATTAGACTACAGTCCTCCACCAGTAAGAGGGTGATACATCTTCCATTAGACTAGCCCTCCACCAGTAAGAGGATGATACATCTTCCATTAGACTACAGCCCCTTCACCAGTAAGAGAGTGATACATCCTCCATTAGACAACAGCCTCTCCACCAGTAAGAAGGTGATACATCCTTCATTAGATACAGTCTTCCACCAGTAAGAGGGTGATACATCCTCCATTAGACTACAGCCCATCCACCAGTAAGAGGGTAATACATCTTCCATTAAATACAGCCCTCCACCAGTAAGAGGGTGATACATCCTCCATACACAGTACTCCCTTTGAAATCTTTGTTTACACCAAAAGCTCCTTCTTGACACACTGAAAGTAGGAGGAAGAGTAGGTGGTTATGTTGAGAGGTTAGTATCTGTCTAGAATACTTTTTCAGGTAAGGAAAATGATAACAGTAGGGTCACTAGTGACCTCTCCACAGAACAGACAGCTAAAATTCCACACTGAGAAAATGGTGAAAGGACTGGTATAAACAATTAACTTAAAATGATGCATTCCTTTCTCAGAATATGATAACAAAAAGGAAAACTCATGAAGTGCATCACCCAGTAGGGGGAAGACACTCCGTGGGAGACTGTATCGATCTCCTGCAAGGAATACTCTTTGCCCAATACAAGTGGTACTACAGAAAGGTATTGAATAGCAGGAATGTGGTGCAAAGAACAGGTGGCCAAAGGTTTGGATGGAGGACATGTAAGAACCCTAAGAACTAAACAGAGGAGGAAAACTGATTAGAAATAAAAGCAAAATGGCCAGGGAAAAGATGAAAGGTCATCAATAAAGATGTTCTGTAACCAGAAAAGCCATGTAGAAAAGGGTGTGATATGAGGAAGAATTGGATGACCTGAAGAAAGGAAGTGACAAATGGATCAGCATTACGAAATCATCTAAAAGGATGGATGGCCAACAACAGCAAGAAAGAAAACCTATGATAAAAAACTGAATTGCAAGAGTCAAGAAAAACATTGTGGCAAAAGATGGACATCAGAGACTAATGTGAAAAGGAACCGCTATGATGGAAAAGATAAAAGGCTAAAGGATTGATAAGTGGCACAGGAGTGAAAACCACAATTGAGCAGGCCAAATAACATGGCAAATTGTGCTATGAATTAAAGTATCTAAGAAGAAGTTGAAAAGGAAGATAAGTATACAAAAAAAAGGAAAAGAAAAAAAAGAGATGAACCCATACAGAAGGAATACAGCCACAGCCACGGACTCTGGGAATGGAGAACAAAAACGGGCAAGTTTGGTATACCTGGTAATCATAAACATATAAATAACAAGACTCTCAAATTGGCAAACAATCCACAGAAACACCAGGATATATAAGAATCACTCTGTTGGAAGGGTACATTCTAGGTAAGACAGCTGATCTGTCATGAAATTCAAAGCTAAAAAAAACGGAAGGCAAAAAGTGTAACTTGAGAACAAGAAAGCACAAGTTCCGAGACTGAGTGCCTCCATGTCAGTTGATGTAAGAAAGGGAAGTGGAGTTGTCAAAATAATTCAAAACAGCTGAAAGAAAAGAATGTGGCAGACCCATTCACAACTCAAGGATATTGATGTGGAAAGATAGCTCCACAGAAGAACAAATACTGAAAATGATGAAGGTATCAAAAACTGCATCTGCCAGATAGAAGCATCTATGAACAGGGATAATGTGGAAGAAGATGGATGCTTAGAATTACATGGAAATATTTGAGCCACTATGACAGCAAGAAGCAACGATACGAAGGTAGAGAAACAAGGAAAAACAGTGGATCACAAGGTACACTCCATTGATGTACCTGATTCCACTGAAGGGAACATAAAGGACAACTCCAAAGGAAATGGGAGACGTTAGAGCTTTGAAAACCAGAAGATCCATATCTCAGAAAATGTAAAGGAGAAGGTTGATCTCTTCCAAAAAATGAGGTGTTTAATACTACCAAATGAATTGCATGTTGAATGGAATTTAACTGACTTAGGCACTTGACCAACCAACCCAATCAAACAGATTCTCAAAGAGAAGTAATAACAGATGAAGCCTCCCAGGATGGCTAGAAGATGCCAAATGTATACAGTGGTGGAAATGCAAACTCAATGAGTGCATTCTTCATGTAAAAGCCCTCAGACGTAGTTCAAAACAGATAGGTAGGAGCACTAGAAAAGAAAACAATAAAAGCTCCTGAGGAAAAAATTGTTTGGTCAAAGGGTTTCTTACAACGTGAGTCCTCAGGTGGAAAAAGTGTAAGAGCCAAGCTCCTACAAGACCAAAGCTGAGAAGTGGTTCTAGAAACAACTGATCACCAAGCTCCACAACTGCTGGCCTCTCAGGAGAGAAGGGATCACAGGATGAGGAACTCTACAGTAAAACATCTCCATGAAGAAAGGGTGTGAAATGGAGTTCCCTGAGATAAAACTGAGAAAGTCTAATCCTAGAAAATAGGGCATCTCAATAAAATAACAGAAACAAAGAAACATGTAAACTTGGTGACAGATGAAGAAAATAGGGCAGCCTGAAGAAATGGTTAGTGCAACCTTCCTCAGTAAAGCTGTTGGGGTAGAGATACAGAACCTAAGAAAAAAAAAGTAATGAGGATAAAAAGCTAAGAAGGTGAGTAGACAAAGGATGAAATTGAGCAAAATGAGGGTAAAAAAAAAGAGCCAAAGTAGGAAAAAAAGAAAATCCCCAAGCTAGAACAGATTCAAGAGAGAGGATCCCCAAGTTAGAACAGATTCAAGAGAGAGGATCCCCAAGTTAGAACAGATTCAAGAGAGAGAATCCCCAAGCTGGAACAGATTCAAGAGAGAATCCACAAGCTGGAACAGATTCAAGAGAGAGGATCCCCAAGCTGGAACAAATTGAAGAGAGAAGATCACTAGAAAAGAGGAAGTATTCTAACCAGAGGCCACAAAGAAGGAGTCTTCAGTTCAGAAAGGATGTGGCAACTGACAGTCAATATGAAACACAGATGGAAAGAATCTACAATAATGTAATAATCATGAAATGGAGGAAGACCTTATGACTTGAGGTGCATACAAGAAGCTCACCCAAGAATCAGCAGAAACAACTAGAATAGAAGAACAAATGTCACATACCTGAGTCATCACAGCACTGAAGGACAAAGGTAGGTGTTACCTGATCCTTGTCAGGGATAGAAGAACCAGAAGCAAAGGTAGGTTGTAGGAAGAACTGGTCAAAGCTATCCAAAGATAAGGCAGGCTCAGAAGAAGTTACTGAGGCTGCTAGTCCTTAGTCCAAGATAAAGAATATAGGATAGAACCAATAACTTGCAGTATAAAGTGGTGTAAACATTGCTCACTAACAGAGGAGTTATAGTCCCCATTTAACGAAAGTAAGACTTTTATGGAAGAAAGTCTGGACCCCACGAGGTTCCGACAACATGGATATGAGAAGGCATAATCTATATAAACAAACATCAATATGTGTGTATCTGTTCCTTATACATTTTCATATTTCTTGATCAATTAGTACCAAACTTGACAAAGTGATTCAGGATGACATGAGGAAAGTCATGAGGGGTGGGTTGGGAGGTTGGACTCCCATCTAATTTTATATTGATAGAATTCTTGAAAACAGTTCGTCTTTCTTTAAGTTTTGATACGTTTATGTATTTTTATTGCACTTTTAATGAATTTTTTTATTAACAAAAAAAAAAACAGAAGCACAATTTTCTGTCTTTTGTTACAAACAAGTTTTTATTTCACCCATATAATGGATGGATACTACAGCTAGTAAATAATATCCACAAAACTGAATTCATGGGAAGTATTATCATAATGCTTTCCACATTGTTGTTTTTGCAATAGGGTCTGGTATGTCAGTAGTACTTAGGCCTTGGCCATTTTCATACTGATGAAATTGAGATTAATTATTAGTTTCTACTGAAACCCAAACAGTGGGTTAATAACGATGGGTAATATTCCTATCAAAGAAACTATATTCCAAAACCTCATGGTTTGATTGAGAGAGGAATTGAAAGTAATATAAAGAAAGATAATAAATTATATCAAATAGTTTGACTGAATTCACTCATAAATTTGTATTTTTCGTCACTGGAATTAAGAAAACAAAGGTAAGAAAGATAACATTTAAATTTGTTAACTAAAAGTTGAAAATAATAAGCATAAATGTTCTTTCTTTTTCTTAATGAAAAAGAACACAACTGAACAATACAATGCTGAAGAGGGGGGGATTGAGCTTTCGGTTTAAACAAAGTGCTGAAGGGCAGTACTGCATATGGGAGATGTGTCAACCTCCTATTGGTGGAGGGCTATAGTCTAATGATGATTGTATCACAGACTGGTGCAATTCACATTATTACAGGGGTAGGAGCTTTGTTCAAAGGCTTGACTCACATGTCGTGGTTTGAGGTATTAGCTCCACGTTCAGTTGAGAGGTGAGCAGTGTTTCTGAATAATTTACTTTTTAACAATAACTCTTCTAAAAATTAATTATTCCACTATTTTTTTATTGCTAAGTCATAAAATAAAATACCACATGTTCACAAGCCACAGCAAGATCAAGTAACCTGAATGTACATGTTCACAAGCCATGGTAAGATCAAGTAACCTGAATGTACATACCATGGCTTGTGAACGTACATTCAGGTTACTTGATCTTGTTCACAAGCCATGGTAAGATCAAGTAACCTGAATGTACACGTTCACAAGCCATGGTAAGATCAAGTAACCTGAATGTACACGTTCACAAGCCATGGTAAAATCAAGTAACCTGAATGTACACGTTCACAAGCCATAGGAAGATCAAGTAACCTGAATGTACATGTTCACAAGCCATGTTAAGATCATGTAACCTGAATGTACATGTTCACAAGGCATAGGAAGATCAAGTAACCTGAATGTACATGTTCACAAGTTATGTTAAGATCATGTAACCTGAATGTACATGTAAGTAACTTGGTTGATAATAAAGTTGATTAATAAGCCTGATGATTAATTGAATATCAAAGTCCACTAACTTTACAGATCTAATCAACACCATATCCTATTTGTGACATTACTCTTCAGTGCTATAAACTACATGTAACAATATTCTTAGACATGAGAAATTAATGAGATGTAACAGTATTACGACTGTAATCAGTAGCTAAGTCACATGAGAACCTAGGACTATACTAATATAGTCACAGACAGACCAGCAAAAATAACATGGAGAACAGAGTTGTAATTTTAATATTATTTTAATTTTGCTTAGTATTACTGAGTGGTCCCTTAGTAAGTCACAATTACCTGTGTGTGTGTGTTTTTATGATTATATAATTAAGCTTAAATAAACAACAAAATCCAACACCCTACTGTATTATTAAATAATCCTTCTAAAGGTAAACAACTTACAAAATATCTAATAAGTGATCTTTATAAATAAACATCAATATGTGTATGTCTGTGTATCTGTTCCTTACATATTTCCACATTTCTTGACCAATCACCACCAAATTTGACAAAGTGATACAGGATGACATGAGGAAGGTCATGAGGGGGGTTGGACCCCCCAATCTAATTTCATGTTGATAGAATTCTTGAAAACAGAATGTCTTTCGTTTCAGTATTGGTACCTTTTTGTATTTTTATTGCACTTTTAATGTTTATTATGTTAAGAAAAATATATTTAAGCACAATTTCCCATCTTTTGTTACAAACAAGTTTTTATGTTACCTGTCCAATAGACGTGTACTCCAGCTAGTATAAAATATAACTCAAACACACAAATACTTTAAAATTGGTTTAAAAATTGATGCTACATGCTCTATTAAAGTACACAAGTCATTCACTTGTATCAAAATGAAAACATTACAACATTCAAACTGTTGTTTATACCTAGAAAATCAAATTAAGAACTTAAAATTTAAAACCTCTAAAATTAAATCATACTTTAAAATACAAAAATACTATTTATTATATACAACTGTCTTAGGTCCACAAACCTGCATCTCTAACTTGAATCATGTAGGAATGTTTGAACTTTTTCCCAGTCCTAACTAAAGGCTTACACAACTCACTACTTTTACAGTGAATGTGGAAGCAACTTGAGTCAAAGAAAAATGCCACATCACACGACTCTTTCACACAACAAGCTTTGGTACACTCTAGAAGAGTACGAGCATTTATTCTGTTGTACTGTCCAGCTGATAAGTTTCCTTGTGGTGTCACTGACTGGTGGACAAAGAAATGAGAAGATGGTGGATTGGACTTTGGGCAGTGCATTTCCAAATAGTTATCTAACCAAAAAGAAATAGTATTTTGAGATAACTTTAACTTCTGATCACAGCAAGCTATCTACATAGACCACATCTAATAAACAGCTCAGTAATTAATATAACTCATTTAATATACTGTGCTTATTTTCTTACTTATATTGATTAGAATACATAGTTTCATCAGTTGAGCACTCTCAATTTTATAAGTATTTTTGGCCATAATCCCATTATATACTACAGTTACAATCCTGTAATCCTAATATTATGATAAAAACATACACAGATAAAGTACTGTCAGCTTTCAAGCTTTGAAAAAACTAACTACTAACTAGTGTATTTGAAAGGTGAATGTCTCAATGATGGTACTTTTACATATATTTGCACTATACCCCTCAGGCCTAATAACTTGAAAAAAAAAGCAAGACTTAAACCTGTTTCTACTCATGCTTAACTTTATAAAAACATGTTCCAGATCCTTTGCAGGCTTAACTATACTTTATAAGAACATGTTCCAGATCCTGTGTAAGCTTAACTATACTTTATAAGAATATGTTCCAGATCCTTTGCAGGCTTAACTATGCTTTATAAGAATATTTTCTAGATCCTTTGTAGGCTTAACTATACTTTATAAGAATATGTTCCAGATCCTGTGTAGGCTTAACTGTACTTTATAAGAACATGTTCTAGATCCTGTGTAGACTTAACTGTACTTTATAAGAATATGTGCTAGATCCTTTGTAGGCTTAACTTTATAAAAACATGTTCCAGATCCTGTGTAGGCTTAACTCTACTTTATAAGAACATGTTCCAGATCCTGTGTAGGCTTAACTCTACTTTATAAAAACATGTTCCAGATCCTGTGTAGGCTTAACTGTACTTTATAAGAACATGTTCCAGATCCTGCGTAGGCTTAACTGTACTTTATAAGAACATGTTCCAGATCCTGTGTAGGCTTAACTCTACTTTATAAAAACATGTTCCAGATCCTGTGTAGGCTTAAATCTACTTTATAAAAACATGTTCCAGATCCTGTGTAGGCTTAAATCTACTTTATAAAAACATGTTCCAGATCCTGTGCTACCTCCATAATTAATTTGATGACCATGATCATGCTTTATTCCTCAGCACAACAATTTCCCTCGTAACAAGCTTCTACAAAGTCAGTACCTTGACAAACTTTCTTCTGATCCTCGAAAGAATGTGGACATTCGGTTTCAAGGCTACTTTTAAGCAGACAAAAGGAATTTGAGAGGTATGATACAAACAGGAATGCTACACTTCTAGTTTCCTCGATCATTTTTCCCATAAAACAGACACTGATTACAAGGAGCTGCAAACTTACAAATTTCTAGCTTGTGGGCTTTAATAAACTTCAAATCTTCCTTTAATATTTTATAAGAGATATTCCCAGCTTCATCACAATGGCTTGTAGAGTTATTTCTGTGGATGAGGGCAAATGATATTGACCTCACAAATCAACACACATTTTTGAATTTTCAGAATTTGAGTAGCTTTCTTTTAAAGCATAATAAAATGTCATCAAGGGCTGAATAATAAAAGAAGTTTTTAATACAAAAACTAGCCTCAAACCCGTTTAAAATGCAAAAAATCTAGAAGGGTATACCCAAGACAAAAAATAAAAAACATATTATGAATATTCTCTTGGGAGGTGAAATATTCACATTTTTCCCCATAAAGAATGGAGTAAATATTTTGAAAATTGTAGGAGGACTTTATTACACTTAATTACTTGGGAGTTTAAATATACATTAGGTAATAACTATAGCTATGAATGTTGTTCAAATGTTATCTTTTAAATGTAAAACAAGCACAAAGAGTAAGGCACATAAAACAAGTTTACACCACATGAAAACATTTTAATAGCAAGATTGTCCTAATGATAAGATTAAAAAACTTGAGTTTTAACATGTTGTAAACTTGTTCTGTGTAAATTATTCCTTTTTAACATTCCACATAATCTTTTCTTGAAATAATGCATAAACATGATTTTCTAACAATAAAAAACACCACTTGACCCCCCACCAATCCCTCAAAAACTTTAGGTACCACATAACTGTACAGTATCCTATTGTCAGTTCACACAAACAAACTCAAGTATACCACTAGAATATTAAAACTAATGCTTAATTTTTTTACAAAATAAAATGTATCGGATCCCTGTTGTTGGGAGGTGGTGGGATTTTGAGTTTTTGAAAATGATAAGTTATTATTATAATATTATTGAGTCTACTACTTGGGATGGACCTAGCGAAGAGTAATCTAGTTGACCATGTCAGTCAAGTATCAATTCACAGTGTAATCAAGGCAGTTTTAAAATTAATTATAGTGTGTCCACCACTTTACATTCGACAAATAACAACCATAAAGAGGTTTTGTATCTCAGGTGCAGCAGAAACCAAACACTGTTTTGTATCCAAGGTGATCCTTCATTTGCCAAAAAAAAACTCTTTTTACATGATTATTTTGGTGTTTTAGATTAAAAACATCACAAGTTTTGGCTGTCACCTACACTAACACATATTTAAACAAACTTGAAGTTCATTTACTGTAAACATAGACTGGTTATTAAAATCATACATGTATCTAAAAGATTCA